AATACCTTGAATCCCTTCTGAGTTTGTCAGGTGGGCATTCTCGTTTCAAATAATGAGGGATAGAATAGAGGTTCATAGTATTCTCTCTTCTATCTGTCAAATATTTGACGCGTGAAAATTGCTTCGAAATAAAAGAGTTTTGGTGTGGTCACAGGTGGTGATCGAAACAGTTCTTTAAATAAAATAAAAGAATTGTGGTTGTGATGATATTGATGATTATGATTACCTTGGTTATACAAGGATTGTGGTATGCTAATGAAAGTGTATGTGTTTGTATATTATGTGTAAATTAACATATTATACTCTGGACGTGGTTTACTCATACAAGCTTTAGAAAGCTTACCGGGTTGTTCTGTGGTGAACCTGGTACACTATTCGATGGTGTAGGGGAAAATCCTGCAGGTGGTGGAGACCATGAGCAGGAGAAATAAGGTGAAGAGCAGGAGGCTCATTGGTGGTTTCACAGAGTGCAAAGTGTGGTGTGAGAGTGTTGGTGAGTGTTAGACTTCTGGTGTGTGAAATGAACTCTGAGGAGCAGATATAATGATTGTTCAGTTTATTATGTAAGTTTGTAATGTAATATTTAACTTAGAAGAGTTGAGTCATTATTGACATTGTGGTTCGGAATAGTGGTGTTGTATCAAGAAAGAAAAATTTAAATTTCTAGGTACTTTTGTTGAAGGTTCCGAGCCTCACATCCCAGATTGTGGGTTGTTCTGTTTAAACTCATTGTTTAGTTGTTGTTGAAAATTCGGGTGTGACATCCATAGAATGAATTGTTGCTGCACTTGAAACCGTACCTGGGATGGATGATGAGCTTTTCTTGGAAGCTTGTCTATTTCTAGAAGATGATAAGAAAGCCAAGATGTTTGTGGCAATGGATGTTGCAGCTCAAAAGAAGTGGCTATACAGAAAACTTCCCCAGTAGCATCAAAGTTGCTCGTTAGTATGCAACTGTTGTCACACCCCGAATTTTTAACAACAAATCAGCGAGTTTAAACAGAACAACCAACAATCCGGGACGTGAAGTTCGGAACCTTCAACAAAAGTACCTAGAAATTTAAATTTTTCTTTCTTGATACGACACCACTGTTCCGAACCACAATTTTAATAATGACTCAACTCTTCTGAGTCAAATATTATATTACAAACTTACATAATAAAATGAACAATCATCATATTACAAAATCTGCTTCTCATAGCTCATTTCACACAGCGGAAATCTAACACTCACCAACACTCTCACACCACACTTTGCACCCTGTGGAACCACTAATGAGCCTCCTGCTCATGGTCTCTACCACCTGCAGGATTTTCCCCTACACCATCGAATAGTGCACCGGTTCACCACAGAACAGCCCGGTAAGCTTTCTAAAGCTTGTATGAGTAAACCACGTCCAGAATATAATATGTTAATTTACACATAATATACAAACACATGCACTTTCATTAGCATACCACAATCCTTGCATAACCAAGGTAATCATAATCATCAATATCATCACAACCACAATTCTTTTATTTTATTTAAAGAACTGTTTCGATCACCACCTGTGACCACACCAAAACTCTTTTATTTCAAAGTAATTTTCACACGTCAAATATTTGACAGATAGAAGAGAGAATACTATGAACCTCTAATCTATAACACTACAAACCTCCAAAGTAGTGTTCACTCATGATTACACTCCAATTATAAGTACTAGATGGCGCTAGACTAGAGCTCTAACTGTTCTTGGCTCTTGCTCCCTAGGGTAATTTATCCCTCATTATTTGTCACGAGAATGCCCACCTGACAAACTCAGAAGGGATTCAAGGTATTTTCCCCTAAATCCACCAACACCAAAACAATATAAAATGTCGTTTCACATTAAACATTGTTTTATCGTCAAATAAACCAATCACAGCAATACATATTTATTATATATATTTATATGGTTATTCACGAATGAATTTCCACCACACATTCACAACATATGTTATATGGTTCAACACCAAAATCTCCAATAAAAGGAATCAATTCAAAACAAAATAGGTTTCACTTACCTCATGAACCGTTGATGAACAAATTCATGTGTTTTAAATCAATTAAAACATTTTACAAAATCACAAACAACATTAACATTATCCAAGGTTGCATTATAATAAATATAATAATTCGTGATTTTACTCACGTTTAGGATGGTTTTACTCACCTCTCGTCCAAGCTTCGTCTTTAACAACTTTATGAATCCTTAATCTCAAACCTCAACGAGCAACTCAACCTCCAACAATACCTAAGCAAAGTACATAACTCAACTAAGCACAAAACTCCAAAATCCAAGATTTCGCATCTAAAGACGAAAATGCCCTTTGGACCAACTAGGGATCCAAAGCGATCAAATCTCGTCCAACCAACTCCAAAACAGTGACGTACGTGCTGTCGACGTCAAATCATGACCAAGGACACCCATAGTCCAAAATGTCACAATTTGGGTCCCGTGGGTCCCACATGTCTAATCGACATCTCAAAAATCCACCTTGGGCCCGCAACCTCAGATTTCAAATCCGATTGCACCAATGGACTCTAAATAATCCCGACATCATTCTGCAACAATTTGGGCCTGATCCAACGGTCGGATCATTCTAGATCGCACGATCGAATGACGATCGCTCGCCTTAACTTTGAAACATAATAACTTAAGATCGGGACGTCCGATCATTAATCCGTCTGTACCTACAAACTCCTAACAACACCAGCTACAACATACGTAAAATTGGACACGATCCAAAGGTCCAATCATCTCCGATCAATGATCCAGATTTGTGAGGCTCTGATCGTCAACCAAACGACGAAATCTCAACACTTTAAACATACCACCATGCTCAGTAACTGCAGGACTACAATCTGTCTCTAAACCCATAACTCAGAATCCCCACCACGTGCCTCCACTGCCGGTGGTGGTTCGGGGTACTATTCCGGCGACGCATCACGAATTGTCGGTCAAGACCTATACCAAAATGTTCATAATATGGAGTTGAACAACTTTCCAATTCAAAGTGTAAGTGGCTCAAACCGCTGGCTGAAGTCGTTGACTTACTAGTGACAAACCAACTTCACCACACCTCTGATGACTCCGATTCTTCTTGGGTTATGCTCAAGAGATAGCAAGCTTTCGATTTGGATGAGTGATGTGGATCACCTCCACCTTTCGCCGCTGCAGAAGCAGCCGGAAATCGCCTCTCCGACAAGCTCTCTAATCTCCGGACTAAAATGAAAATTTCTGACTTGCACAGTAGCCCTCCACAATTTATAAACCAAAAATCTGTCACTATTTAATTTTGCAATTCAGTCCCTGAAACTTCAAACGAGCATAACTTCTTCGTTTCAACTCAAATTCACAAACCGTTTGCGCCTATGCATTCATGGGATCAAGCTCTATTTTCAAGCCAAAATTTACAATTTTCTCGCCAAAATTTACAATTTTCTCAATTCAATTTCCTGAACATCCTTCGGAAAATCATAAACTTAATCATAAGGGCATTTTTGTCCCAATTTGAGATTTAACTCACTTAACTCCAATATTTCCACATCAAACCAAATTCATAAAACATCCAATATAGTCACACGACTTAATAAGACTTTCCACAAAAATAATAAAACCAAATATTATTTTTGAGGTTATTACAACTGTAGTTTTGATATGCTTATCATCCTTGTGCTTTTTTCCTCATGTAAATTACTTACATGGAAAGAGTTTCCCTCTACATAATGTAATTCCCTTGTGTATATCAGTAAGTTTTGAGATGGGCTTTTTCCCTGCTATTGAACAAGAAAGCCAAAGCTTCCTCTTCTCTTTTTTTAAAAAGCAAATTAACCTCAACAAATGCTAATTAGCAACCGGATCAGCTCCACACTATTATGGGTTTAGGTTTTGAAGCTAACAAAGTTGTAAATCAAATTTCATACTTACCAAGAACTGCAATACTCATTAACAATAATTTCATACTTACAAGTAAAACAATAAATGAAGTTACTGATCAATTAAGGAAAACAAAATTACCCAGATCAAGAAAAAAAAACTACTGCGTCGTTCTTCTCCGCTGAAGTAGAATTACTGACTATTCTGTGAACCGCATAAAGACGAAGGTCGTTGCCAAAAGTTGGATCCAAATTCCACTCTGTGAACTGGGAAGAGCCAAAACAAATAGACACAGAGATGGAGACAGTGTCACGACCTTGACAAAAGCTAAATGGCATGGCCATCTCATTCTCTTCTTTTAGAATTTGCTTTCTCTCGCTCGCGCTCCTCTCTACCTTCTTATCCCATAAATCATATAAACTTGATTCAAGACATAGCCCATGATAGGAGTACCCCAAGGTTGGAAGTAACTACTCCAAAAGTAACCTTACCCCTATGATGAAAGTTTTCCAAACAGGATTCCACTGAAAATAATAGCACCAAACCACTTGTTCGACACAAATCTGGAACCAAGACAAGAGCAAATGCTGAGGCAAGCTGATCATGTTCAAGGCAAAACAAAGTAAAGAAATCTTAAACCTAAATGAGCTTTTCCTTCCCTAGTGTATGAAATCCTCCAACTTATATTTTTTTCAATATTTACCTTTTTTGTTTCTCTTTGATTGGAGAAATATGCAGTATGGCAAAATTAACATTGATGCAGTATGCCTATTTAATCTCTATGATTACTTGAAATCAAGATCATATCACGAAAAATACGCACTTTCTGTTGCAATCAACCCGGGATGAAAGGTCGGCAGTCCATATCTGCCAAGCTAATTGTCCAGATGCAGCTGCCAAAAATGCATAGTATGGCCACCCTGCTCCATAGTTGAAAGATTGGTGTGAGCATGTGGCAGAAGGAAAAAGAATTGGATTGAATTTCCAATAATGGTAAAAGAAAAAATAATTATTAAAAAAAAAACAAACAAAACAAAAATAAAGGAGGAAACAAAACCAATTTCAGCATTATATCCACTGAGGGCAAGACTGCTGATGCACATAATTCCAAACCCAGTAATCCACTCCTTAGTTGAATCACCAAATCTCAATGCAGTAGACTTAACACCTACTTTCAGATCATCTTCCTTATCCTGCAAGTACAGTCAGAAACATCATTTGTTGGATTGCATGAAATAGTTCTCTTATTACTACATATTCCATAGTTTCATCACACACAAATCTTGGAGACTACTACTTCTGACCATGTGAGTACTACAGTGACATATTTGCTTTACCTGATGTGCGTATATCGTATCATACACAAGTGTCCAGCAAACTCCAGAAAGGTACAATGGGAGCACTATAGCTGGATCAATGCTTCCTTTAACTGCAGCCCATCCTAATAAAGCTCCCCAATTAAAGGTCAAACCTAGATAGGCTTGAGGCTGCACCAAACGTGAAAGCATTTAACAATTAATTAGTCAACTGTCATGAGGTTTCACATCAAAGTTAAAAATAGAAGAAAACTTGAGGGTACGTTAAGAAACCGGAGGTTTAATTACCCAAAATGTCAACCTCTTCATGAGAGGATAGGAGAAAACTAGCAACAATGATGAAGCCCCCAAAACGCGGCTGTCAATTCCAATGAAGTAAACAGAGGTTCATGTGCTTGCAGATAATATTGGTTTAACCAGATTTATTAACTAAAAAAGCCACTGATGCAAGGGCAGATATACAAAGTAAACTAACCTATAATTATTCAGTTGAAGGAGAATTCCAAGACCCAAAAGCAATTGAAATCCAAGAAAACAAATCCCCTGAAAAGGGGTCAAAAGACCACTTGCAACTGGCCGCAATTTTGTACGTTCTACCTGGAGTTAAAAGGAAAGGCACTCACAAGTTCACAACCACAAGATAGAAAACAAAACAGGCAATGAAATAAACTGCAAAGGCCCAGTGGACATTACCATGGTATCAATATCCCGGTCAAGGAGATCGTTTATGGTGCATCCAGCGCCCCTTAAGAGCAGAGCCCCACATCCAAATAGTGTCATCATCTTAATATCAGGAAGGTGTCCTGGGCTTGCAGCCAATGTTATTGACCTGCACCAACAACCATGTCCTTCTCTTTCCGTCAAACCAAACAATGCAGTGGACAAACCAAAGTTTAAAAAGTTGAAGTAAGAGTCGGTTACCACATACAAGGCCAAGCGAGCAACCAAGTGCCAATGGGCCTGTCGAGGCGAGCGAGCTTCGCATAAGGGCGAGCTTGTCTCGGCAAATACAAGTCGATCCAAGAAGCCTCAACTTCAACCTTGACGTCATTGCTGCCCTGATTTCCGTCCTTCTTGGCGCCTGTAGATGAAGACGAGCTGGAGATGTGGGCTACGAGTCTCAGATCAAATTCGACGCAACTGAGAGTCCAACTGTGCCTCTGAGTGAATGGGCCCAACTGGGTTCCGTTGGGATAAGCGTTAGGGTTAGAATTTTTCGAGGTGGTGGTGGTGGTGGTGGCGGTGGTTGGTTGGTAAGTAGAAACTGCGAATAGGGTGCGGGAAAGAGAAAGTGAAGGTTTCGCTTTCAGAAACCTACGCGAAGCGCGAGAGACGAGCCAAAACGACGCCATTTTCGGAATTCACTTTCCGCCAAAACGACACCACTTAAGTGGGTCGATATCGATATGGAATTTCTTTCTTTTGTAAGATGTAAGATGTAAGATGTAAGATGTCATCTTCTTGGATTATCTCCGTCCACTGGTAAAGTAAAGTGAAGTGATGGCTTTGCGCATTTGCAATTGCTCTGCGCTCTCAATCCACAATCCTTTGAAATTCTCAAATTCAATGCCCAGAGCTTCTTTGGTCCAAAGACACACTCATCTTCATCCTCCAAGAGAAACACCATCATCACCTTGTTTGACCAAGAGAGACCTCGGCCTCTCAATTGTCGCTATTTTCTTAAATGGGTTTTTGCCAAACTTGCAAAAGGCCATTCTCGCTCAAGACTTGGAGCTTCAGAGGTACACAGATTCCAAGGAGGGATTCACTCTCCTCCGGCCCTCCTCTTGGATAAAGGTGAACCAGAAGTTCAAGCTTGTATCTTTATTGCCCTCTGTCACTCTCTGTGATTATTAATGTATTGCTTTCAGTTTCAGCCTGTATAAGTGGATTTTGTGTGGATGAAAATGGCTGCTTATGGATGGGCAGGTCGAAAAAGCAGGGGCAACTGCTCTGTTTGAAGAGGCAAATAACGGAAGCAACAATATTGGTGTTGTGGTGAACCCGGTTCGTCTTACGAGCCTTGGAGAGTTTGGCAGTCCTCAATTTGTGGCTGATAAGCTTATACAAGCTGAAAGGCGCAAGGTGAAAAGTGCTCCCCTTGAATGTGTGTTTGCTATTATTATTATTATTATCTTTTTCTCTGAAGTTGATGATGGTGATTTATGATTGATGTTGGTAGTAACTTAGAATCCACCTTTTTTATATATAAGTGGGAATTTTGGTTCAAAGAAAATTTGAATCAATGAATAAACCACCAATGCCAGCATTTAGTTTTCTTTCTGTATTTTTTTTATTAGACTGCGGCATTTTGTTTATGGATAAAGATTATGCCTATTGTGGCCTTTTGTATCTTTTATGCTTGGTTCACTAGGAGAATATCTTTCTTGTTCTTAGCAAACTAGGGCTAGGAGCAGAAAATGATTTGCTATATGAAGAAAATAAATATTTTTTTGGGGGGTGGGGTGGGGGTGTGTGTTTAAGGATGCAGAGTTGCCATGGAATTCAGTTAAGTTGGGCATTTCAGTAAACCAAATTTGTTTCTTTGTTAATCTAAGAACAGTTTATATGTTGGTTTATAGTATACCACTTGCTGACAGTGGCAGATCCCGGAATTCTTCCCACGGGTCATTGTGTGAAAGTACGCTAATATAATATGTATGCATGTATGTATGGACTGTGGACTCAAGAAATGCTGGCAAATAGAAAGAGCAACGGACATGAGTAAGCAAAACAACAGCAATATAAAAAGTAACAGCACTTTGTACCAAATAATGTTAATAGCATTGCTGTTTTGGTAACAATCCCGTGTGACAACATGGCTGCAATAATTTAAAAGGAGATCAAATTAAAGGAATGGCTGCTTAATGGTAAACTTTGAACAAGAAGTTTATGAGGAAAGAAGTGAAGTGATTACATACCTGCTAAAGTTCAGTAGCAATACGTGTTTTACTTAGTTCAGTCAAGTACATCTCCTTCATGACTTTGATCTGCAAATCAAAGTCAGAAAGACAAAGATGATTACAAAGAACACTGCAGCTACATGCCTGCAGACATAATTATCACTAGATTTCTTTATTTCTTACTAGCACATGCTTCTATTAAACTCTTTCTGCATAATCCTTTAAAATACATTGCCAACAGAAAATAGCTTGTGCATGCAACCATGAATTCATGTATGCTTGTATGTAATGTAGGTTCAAGACAGTGGCCTTATATCAAAATAAATAAGTTCAAGATAGTCACAGATGACTGAAATTTTACTTCTTCTCTTCTGAATGATATGACCCGAACGGTCTGTAGTACTAGTATATTCTTCTTAAGTGTCTAATACGCCACATGAATTGTTTGTTGTAATTTGGATGCGCCCATTTTATTATGACCTGAGATTAATTGTTGCTGCTGCTATCTTTTATCACTGAAAGGCTAATTGAAGTTGAGGGTTTGAGCGTAATAATGGAAGTTTTGATTGAAGGAATATTATAAGTTATGTATGTGCAACCTCAGTATAATAATGTTCTGATATTCCCAATTGTATCATCACAACTTTGGATGAATATCACCGGATTGAGCTTACAGTATATTTTTTTTTTTCCTTTTTTCTTTATTATGAAAAGTATCACTTCTCTTATTTTCGAAATATTAAAATTTATAATTGTCTTGTTAAACCTCTCTGTTCATACACAGGAAAGTACAAAAGATGCTGTGGTTATTGGATTTGCAGAGAGACCAGGCCAGGGTGGCCTACAAGTATACGAGTTCGAGTATGAGGTTGATAGCACAAGAGGAGGGATGAAGAGGATCTTTTCGGCTGCATTTGTGGCCTCAAAGAAGCTATACCTTGTCAATATCACTCACTCGGACAAACCAGAGAGTCCTCTTAGCTCAAATACAAGAATAATGCTAGAACAAGTTCTTCATTCCTTCGATGCAGCACCTTTGACATAATATCACTGCACTTTCTTCCATCATGACTACTTTACTATTCTTGCCTCTGCATAAGCTCAAGTAATGTTTGTCTTCAACTTACTTTGAAAGAGATCAAGGTGATATTGTGAGAGTTGAAACCACAATGAAAGTAATGCGGCCTTCCCTTTATTTCTAATCTCCAAGGCATGGACCAACAAGGAACCACAAGACCACAGAGAGCCATTGCCTTCTCCCCTTCTACTACCTCAATGTCATTGCCGGTACAGCAGCACAGCGCGATGTGTAGAAGTAGCAAACGTCCTCCTCGTTTTTCACCCATCTTCCCTTCTCAAGTCCTCTCCCAAATTCAGTAAGTTTTTTACCCCCGGCCTCCCTTCTTGTGTCCTCTCCAAAACTCAGAAAACTCACAGAGCCAAACAATGGCCGAAGAAGTCAGAGGGGTTGATGCATTGGATGGGAAGATAAATTTTTTTATTCAATTAAAAAGTATTGAAACATAAAAAAATTATCATCAAATCAAAACCAATCACAGATTTTTCTTGGAATCAAGTATGAGAAAAACTAAAAAGGGAGATTCACTATTATACCCAATATTGGAGCTCAAATTATATTTTAAAAAAATCATATATGAAATGGACTTTACAATACACTCAAAATTCATTTACAACATAACAAAAAGGCTTTTAACTTCTTTTAAATTACAAAACTGCTATTGATTACTTAAAACAAATCCAACCCCAAAACTACATAAAAAAGCCCAAAACACTCAATAGGGCATCAAAGTAATTTAATAATTAAAATTAAATTTAATAGGACCAGATGTCATTTTTTAGGTTTTTTTTTGGGTTTGTTTATAAAAATTAAATTGTATAAGGTTTATTTATAATTTTAGTGCTAAGAATGAGTATATCACTAAATATCTCAACTAAAAAGTGAATGTTTCAAATTTCTAGACACCAAAAAGCATGAAATATACTTGGAATGGTTTGATTGGATTGTCTTATCGCAAGCAGATTGGGTCAACAGATTAGATTTATAAAAAAAAAACACACAAAAAGACGAGAATAACATGAGAAGGATTGAATAAAGTTGGAAGCATATATCTAGGCGTTGAAATAGGGGCGGCAAGGAAGGAAGCCATGCAATGCAATGCAATGCTATTGTATATTTATATTATTAAGCTTTGCGCAATGCTAGCCTTTGCTTGTGCGACTTTCTGCATAGAAAATTCCAAAGCCCACCTCCCACAGCACTACAAGAAAAACAGGTATTAGTAGCCACCCACTTGGTCACAGAAACTACCCTTTTTGGTCACTGAATGCAATCAGTGTCCAAATATTGGTGGTCACTAGGTGGTCACTAGAAGCTCGTCGCAAATTCTACTTAGTGGCCAATATCAACTATTGGTCACTACAACACAAAGATCCATAAACAAAAATGTCAAACTTTTGACAGAAAATGTAGAAGCAGTCAAATAGTTTTGCTCAGACAAAGTCAAGTAATTTTGTTCACACATGACATCCAATAAAACAGTAAACCCAATAACTATTAAGGAGAAAGAAAATGATCGACCTGTTTGAGGAATGGAAAATTAGAAAAGTCAGACGTGGTAGGGGGTGTAGGATGATGAGTACAGAGGGAGACACAGAGAGAACAGAAATGTGAATGTGAGCTGGGGAATGGGGAGAGCATGAGAAAATTTAAAATTGGGCCGTTATTTTATGTGTTCAATTGTTTAATGACGAATTTTCAAACATGCCAACTGTTTAAGGCTTACGTGCATCATCACCTAAAGTCTTGTAAACCTTTAAAAAGACTAAAGTGGCATTGAATACAAGGTTTACGCTACTTTGCTTGTCTCTCTCTCTCTCTCTCTTTGTTGTATAAAACCCAGTTGCATATTTATAAGCTGCTAATTTAATTTTGAGCTAAAATGGTACACAACCAAGTAGATGCATCAAGAATCCAAGAGATGGATTCAGGAGAAAAGCGCCTTAATGAGCTTGGTTACAAGCAAGAACTCAGAAGAGAGATGGTAGGTAATTTTTTATTTGATTTCATGTTATGTTTTATTATCATATTAACTTGAGCTTTGTGGATTGGATACTTCATTTTCTGCAGACTCTGTTCAAAACTCTTGCAATATCATTCTCCACGATGACACTTTTCACTGGAATTACTCCCTTGTATGGTTCAAGCCTTGCATATGCAGGTCCTGCAAGCCTTGTGTGGGGATGGGTGGTGGTATCATTTTTCACCTGGTTTGTAGGAATTGCCATGGCAGAGATCTGCTCCTCTTTCCCGGTTCGCCACTTCTCACTTCTAATTCCTTTTTATATATTGTCGAGTATGTGTTCACCTATCCTACTTTTACTCTCAATATACTACCATGGAGATGGAGATTCTTTCATCCCATTCTGCGCTTCAAATTCTAACCGTTGTTCGTTATTGAATAAGCATGTTTAATATGACAAAAATGAATTATTAGTTTAATTAAGAAACATGTTAAGAGGATTATCATACTAGAACAACAGTTGCGGGAGAATGGAAATCATTCCCTGCTACAAGATGAATATAATAAATTTTTATTCCAGCCATATTTTGCTTGCACTTTTAGATTTTAGAGGCAGTAAATTAAGTTGTTGACTTTTCTCTCTTAGGGATATAGCAAGAGATGCCTTTCGTCACTGAAAAGTTTAAGTCCTAGACAACTTACTTCCTCGTTGTGAAACAGACTACAGGTTCTCTTTACTTCTGGGCTGCCCATTTAGCTGGCCCCAAATGGGGTCCATTGGCATCATGGTGCTGTGCTTGGCTTGAGAGCATAGGGCTCATTGCCGGCATCGGTACTCAGGTACTAATCTTTTCATTTTGAAAGAAGAAATTAGTGATATGTATATATATATATGTTGAATTTTGACCTAAACACTTTAAACTTGATTTGAAAGGCATATGCAGGATCACAAACACTGCAAAGTATCATTTTATTGTGCACTGGAACAAATAAGGATGGAGGCTATCTTGCACCAAAATGGTTGTTCTTATGCATGTACATTGGCCTCACTCTTATATGGGCATTTCTCAACACATTTGCACTAGAAGTAATTGCGTTTATTGACATAATATCAATATGGTGGCAGGTAAAATCATCTTTTGGTTTCTTGCCTGCTTTTTTTCATAGTTTTTTGTGGGAAAGTGGTATATTATGATTCTGTTTTAAGTGAGTATTTTGTACTGTGATTGATACTCTGTTAATGTCAAAAGGTGCTAATTCTACCTTTATGAATAAACTCTATGGAGGGTTTACATATTCCCATTAAGTGTGTTGTTTTTGTACATGTACAGAAAGTTCATACTCCCTACTAAGTGGATGAAGAGAAAATTTAGAAAACTATGAACCCTTTGGTTTTTTCATTCCAAGCCAAATGCAGTGGGTCCAAATTAGGATACGTCTACATATGTATATGTAAACCACATTTACAAAAGAGAAACTACATTGGTTTCAATTGCTGAACCTCAACACTTCCTCCCTAGGCAGGTGTGTGTAAAATGTGTTTACTTACCTTAAGTATCATATATCATGTACGATGCGTGGGTGTAATTATAGTTAATCATCAACTAATTCAAGGCCTGTTTAGAAAGCACTCAAAAAATGCACATAGATGGAGAACAAAAAGGTGCTATGAATGTTGAACCCATTTCAATATTTCCAACCTGCCTTCCATGGATATTTGCAGTATGCCTCATTTACGTTACTTGTTCATTCAGTTTCGCTTTATCTACCATGGACTAAAGCAGCGATGTGGATTATAATTCTCTCTGATATAAAATATTGCTTGCAATTTTTTGTTTGGCAGGTCATTGGGGGGACGGTTATTGTGATAACGCTTCCCCTTGTAGCACTGACTACACAGTCTGCATCATATGTGTTCACAAATTTCAACGTGGCCCCTGAGAGAACTGGGATATCAAGCAAGCCTTATGCAGTGATTCTATCATTTCTTGTTAGTCAGTATTCATTATATGGATATGATGCTGCAGCACATCTGACAGAAGAAACCAAAGGTGCAGACAAGAATGGTCCTATTGCTATTCTATCTAGCATTGGTATCATATCAGTGTTTGGGTGGGCATACATCTTGGCCCTTACTTTCAGCATTCAGGTAAGACGCAAAGTCTAATTTTAGTGCAATTCTGGTAGAGCAGGCACCTATTTGAGAATCCAAATTACTTTTAAGGCTTCTGCTAATTAGTGTGCAGAGTGCCTTCATTCCTCTGTTTTGAAAGTGCACAAAATGAAGTCAAATGTTAATTTGTCCCTAGTGAAAAATTAATTTCACATGTGTAGTAGACTTGTATAGTTCCATAGTCTGCCGATGCAATGGCAGAAACTAGTAGAGTTTTTAGAGTTTGCACTAACCATTTCAACCCCTAGCAGTGAAAATAGTCATTGTATTCTTTATTCTGGCAATCCTTCCCTCAGTCTTTGTGCAGTTTTTCTTTTTCTGGTATAACGATCTTTCATGGAATTCGATTAAAGCATAAATCGATTGTTGTAAGTGCTTTTTATAGTTGGAATATTATTAAACTGATACTTTTTCTGCGACTTTTCACTCAGGATTTTAGCTACCTATATGATACGACCAATGAGACTGCTGGAACGTTTGTGCCAGCTCAAATACTCTATGATGCTTTTCATGGGAGGTACAATAGTTCTGCTGGAGCAATCATTTTTCTGTTCATCATTTGGGGTTCATTCTTCTTTGGCGGGCTTTCAATTACTACTAGTGCTGCCAGAGTGGTAAATAGACTTTTCCTTTTTACTCCTAAAACAGCATTTATACATTCACTTGCTGAGAACAGCACCTTAATTCTAGATTTACAGAAGTAGTCTGTTTGGTCTGGCACCACCAAAAAAGTTGTTTACGGTTTAGGGTATTTTCAGGTATATGCTCTATCAAGAGACAAAGGGATTCCATTTTCATCCATATGGCAAAAATTGCACCCAAAACACAAAGTTCCTTCCAATGCAGTTTGGCTCTGTGCAGCCATCAGCATTCTGCTTGGACTTCCAATCCTGAAAGTTAATGTAGTCTTCACTGCAATAACTTCCATATGTACAATTGGATGGGTAGGAGGATATGCAGTTCCAATCTTTGCAAGAATGGTAATGGCCGAGAAGAACTTCAAACCCGGGCCATTTTATTTGGGGAAAGCAAGAAGGCCAATTTGCTTTGTTGCCTTCCTGTGGATTTGTTATACCTGTTCAGTCTTCCTCCTCCCCACTTACTACCCAATTAGTTGGGATACATTCAATTATGCACCTGTTGCTTTGAGTGTAGGTTTGGGTCTGATAATGCTTTGGTGGGTGTTGGATGCAAGGAAATGGTTCACAGGACCTGTTAGAAACATTGATACTGATAATGGAAAGGTATAAACTTATTCACAAGTTTGAATTTCTTTCATAAGTAGTAGGTTCGAAGCTTCCCTTCTATGCTGCTCCTAGCATTTTGTTTTCTTGTATCTATGTCCATTCATTGCATTCCAAATTTAGAATCAGTAAGCAATCCCCCATTTGTTGCCTACGGCATTATTTATATAAAGGGCAAATTTATGCTACAGAACAAATGCTCATGTTGCCGACTGTGTATACACAGGCACACACACACACACAAACATATGAATTATTCCGGAAGAATTCATGCCATAGTTAAATTTAAGAACAAGTTAAGCAAGTCAAGTACAGAGTTAAAAGCAGCGATCTTTAAACATGCATGTCCAGAATACAAACTAGGGAACTACTTCCCCACCTCTAAGACATGGAAATTGTGTAGCTGTCCAGAATGGACGTACCGCCGATCTCAATTCTGTCAACTCCTCCAACAATTTTTTGTAGCTTGAATTCTTGGCTACAACGTCTTCGGAGACCTCCTTTCTTTCCACCAGTGTAGCTGCGTACATTACAAAGTTATTGATACTATCCCACAGCAAAGCCTGCTTCCTTGCATCACTTTCACTTCTAACCTTAGCTACCCATTCTCTAGCTTCCTCCACCTTGGCCCAAAAGCAGGAATCCTGAGTCAAACCTGCAAATTTGATTCTCTTACTATTTTTCTCCTCATTAACTCTCTTCTCCTTCCACCACCTGTCGAAAATCTCAAACCTCCTCTCTCTTCCATGCTTCAAGTAATGACCCTTGACAAGGTGCATATTAGACCTATAATACTCAGCAATCTCCAGTGGCTCTACCAGGAGCATGTAAAACTGGGAAGCATTTACCCATTTTGATCGCCTGTGAAAATCGTAAGGCAGCTCATTTTTGTCCAACATTTCGATCACGCCATTCCAAAATGCAGCAAGTTTGTGGCGGTTCATGTTGACTTTGTGAACCCTTTTTGAGGAGCCCCTTTGCTTGAAGGCGTCGTAGTACCCTAGTTTCTCATCAGACTTATCACAGGATCCCTTGTACCATTCTATTTCAGCCCTGTAAGGTGTGATCCTGGAGAGCCGAACGGCTAAATCAGCACACTTGAGGTTTGGTGTACGTCCCAATCGCCTCGCTATCTTTAGGCACTCTTTCGCTTCTGAAGCTGATTCCTGAAATTCATTTGACAAGAGATGAATGGACGGAAAAAAGGTTAAATAAATTGGAGAATGATAGTGAAATGTTAGTACCTGACCACTTATTCCCAAGGACTGCAATGCCAATGCAACCCCTGCGTCCCAGCTTGACTGAGGAAGCTCCCCTTGCATGAAGCTTCTCTTGTTCAAAAACTGTGAACAAAACTTGCCAACATATTCTCCATACTTGAGATGATCCTCAATACAGCAACTGGGGTTACCTGCAATAAACGTCAAGTACATCATCTTGATGACAGATGCTGCATTGTCCACACAGATAGCCCCCTCTTGTGAGCAAAACAAGTAGTTCCCAAATGGGCAGTAGGAACTAGTTGCTCCCTCTTCCCCTGCTTCCGATGCCACTTGCAAATGAGCGGCTACAGACAGAAACAGTTCAGCTTTTGCTTCGTCTCCAAGCTGCACACCAAGATTCCCAAACTGAGGAGCAGTCCAGTGTTGCAGTAAGAGATGCAGTTGGGTGGTGCATGATGCCATTGGAGCAAAGAGTAGCCTCGGCATGATGTCATACTTGGAAACCACATGGCAAAAGTTGCCACCCCATCTTTCTCGAAGGATTGCTCGGGAAAGGGACTCATTGCCAAGCAATGGTGAACCAAAGGTAATGCAGAGGACTGAAGGGGAAGAGGAGACAGATTGGAGGCAGGAGAGGAGCCAAAGAGCACAGAGTGAGGCAGTTGTGCCTCCTATAGAATGGCCTGTGATGATAATGGACTTGCTATTCTTTGTTACTTCCATCATCTGCACCAGCCACCACCAGATATTAATTTTTTGGAGCACTAATTAATTGTATCCTACTAATAAATGTTACAATTAGAAAGCTAAATCAACGTGGACAATTTAATCCATTTACTTTGATTTTGATGGCAGATCACAAATCTATGTCCAGTTTGATCCCTGCAGTTTCAGTTTTCATGATTCTAGGCATGTGGTTTACTAGTTGTTTCAATTTTGGGAATATAAGGCTTATAGTTTCTTAAAGTTACCAATCAAGTCCTACAAGTCTAACATTGCTAAGAAAAATAAACAGAATTCTTATGTTTTGGGTTGATTGCAAATGTTTTGTGGAGACAAAAGTTCCCTCACATTTGGTGGTTGCATATTGCCAAGTTAAATTTCATCTATTAGTTTGACGATAGGATTATGAATTAATTGCAAGTCAAATCAAACTACAAGATTGAAATGGCCAAAATTCAAATAACATGGACCCAAGTGGAAAATTACGGAACTAAAATGTTATTTGGCCTTGTTGCAATTTAAGGAAAATGACTTATTTTGTCCATTTTTCAACGGGAACATGTTGTTTGTCTTTGAGGGCACTATACAGCTGTGTTGTAAAAAACATGACCTAAAGGTGCTTATCAAGACTCTCAATAAAGTCATGGAGGCAAATAAATATACAACAAGGGATCTCTACTTTCAGTAAGGAGAAAGAATACCACAAGGATTTGATTGATCAAATCTTTGCGTAAAGGTAGTGGATAAAATTTGAAAGAAGAGGTCTTCAAATCTTATCAGGATAATCATATAAATGAATAATTCACATTATGATATTTGACATTAGATTTCATTATATAATAATGTGAATAAGGAGTATTGTATAAGAGAAGGATTCAATTGCACAGTCATTCCAATTTGAATGGGTTCTTCCCTACACCCTATTTAGCTCAGATAATCACGACATGCTGCTAGGTGTCAACCATGGTTTGTGGAAGCCCTGAAAAGTTCAATCATAATTAACCTTCACTAATATGAAGAATTAAATAATGAGATTTAATTCACAAGTTAACTCAGAGGAGTTCAGTCAACTCACTTCCTTGCTAAAAGGAACCTACGGATTGCACACCGAGAAATGAGATTAGAGGAACAAATGAAGAGAAAAGAAATTAGGAGTCAAAAGTCGAAGGCCAAAATTCAAAGGTCAAAGTCAACATGTTTGACCGGAGCAATTGACCGAGTTAAATAAGTAAGACTATAATAGTGATTTAAAAGTTAAATTATAATTCAAAATAAAGAATTAATTATGAGATTAACTTTGACATAAGGAATTGAATTGGGCTCTAAATATGATTTAAATGAGAAATGCAAAATATCCAAAAGCCCATTGAGCCCATAGATAAGTGTTGTATGACAATACAAACCGCTCTATGATATGCTATTTATCCAATGTGAGATCTTGAGTCCTAACACAAATCCGCAATCCCACCACCACATTTTGTTTTAAAGTTTTAATTCATGTGTGTCACATCAATAATTTAATAGACTTTTGAAAGGAACCTCACGACAAAGGAAGGAAGATCCGGCTAGAGGAATGGGGGGTTATCTCTGTGATCATAATAGGAACTTCATTTGTAGACCTCCGGGCATGGATGTTTTGGAGATTCAATGCACATGAACCATATACAATTTACATATTCAGTGGGGGACATCGAAATAAGTAAGTTGGTTCGAAGGTCATCCATCAAAATTTCCCCCTAACTTCAACAAACCAGGAACAAATCACTTAGTAGGCTATCACCGAAACGCATAAACGAACTCGATGGTCACCCACTAAAAATTAGGGTTTGTTGGGTGTGACTATAAAATGTGATAGTGTGTGATGGATTTAGGTTAGTGAGAATAATTTAGGAAGAAGTGATATGTGTAGAGAAAATAATTTAATTTCACTAAAATTGTATGTAGGTGTAAAGAATGTGTCCAAAAATAGGATTGTTGGGTTCCATTAAATCACCCTAATGAAGTCTTTCATTTGAACAAAAAATAATAATAAATGTTATAAATAAACTAATTATAAAGTAAATTTTATTATGGTGTACTAGAACAAGACATACTAGATTATAAGAATAAATAATTTTATTTTTCTTAATTTTGGTCATAGAAAGAAATATAATTTATTTGGCAATTTGTTGACGAAAGATTTTGGCAGTGGGAAAGCAATCTAGTCAACACGTCTTGTAAATTTGCTTTTTGTTCGTTGGTACGAATTGTTCTTTTTGTCAAATAATACAACAACCACCCAAACACGCATGAAAGCCTCCACGCATAATTCTAATTCTAGATAATTAAAGTAAATTATTTTCTCTCTCTAAACAGACCTAATCAACATATAAATGCGACAAAAAATAGTTAGAGAGGGAGATATGGGATGGGACAAGTTAAAGTAAATACATGGAACTTAAAATTAAAGTTTTGTTAAAATTGCTTTTAGCTTTTGCTTATTAAAGATTCAAATACCAAGCAAATGCATGACTTGAAATAGAACTTTTGACGTAGACAATTGAATTCAAGTCTGTCTGGTAGTTGGCATGCAGAGAGAATATTTTCATGGCCTTAATAACTAGCTAAGATTAACTCTTCTTATGTTTTTTTATGTCGATTTCGCTCGTAAAAGTAATTAAGTCACGTGAGAAGAGAAATAAGCATAAAAATACGACTGCCCCTTGTAGAAATTTTCCCGAATCAGAAATATTGAATTGCATCCTGGGCAGTGGCCACTACGTGCTTAAAAGTTTGTGTGTTTTTTTCAAAGATGACAATCATAGCCTAAAATATCACTTTTGAATTTGGTTGAACACATTGGAAAATGAGTAGAAAGATTTATGACTTTTTGAAACATTTTTGTTGTTTCTTGCCCAGCCGCAGCCGGTACACGCAACCTGCGCGTAGGAGTTTAAAAGGGGTTGGAAAACGAGGTTACTGTTGAAAAGTGCCATGGGCAAAATGAAGGAAATTCAGAATCTTGAAGCAATATTCAGAAAGAGAAGTTGTTTTTGTTTTCTGTATTTTATTTATTTATTTATTTATCTTGTCAAATAAGGAACAAATGAAAGCGAAATACCACTATTAGTAAACCTATTGACTTGACTAACTATTATTTATGAACAAATACTTGACTTGTATTTGCAGTTAAACCAATCAAAAAAGGCCCTTTATATTATGATTTCTTATAGACATTTATCATTGATTATTAACATATAATATGCAACAATAATGTCCATATTTTGTTTCGACTACTCTACCATTTTTTCTCGGGCTTTCACAAATCGGTTCATTCTAACATTACATTTTATTTATAAAGATAAAAATAAAAATTTCCCTCAAATCCAATACTTTAGATTAGAAAAACTCCATCATGTACTCTTTTAAGTGAAAAAATTATAACACACTAAGAACCAATGGCAATAGTTAGAGGATTTTTGTTTTTGTTTTTGTTTTTCTCTCCAAAAAAGCGTTGTAAGAATTTTTGTATAAAATATCATGTTCGAATGCGACTATCTGTGAGAAAACCTATTCTTTCTCAGTAGTAATAACTGTCTAGTATATAAAAAGTAGAATAGAACACAAGAAAAAGGGCTCATATTATAACTAGCAATTGCCTGGGCCGCAAGACAACAAACAAAAGGTAAAATACGCGTCACAATCAAGGCAGAAAAAAAGAAATACATGAATGATATCAATTATCTGACCTGGTTTTGGACAGCTTCGAAGCAGTTCAGGAAGAGATTGAGCAGCCCTTCATGCACCATGACGGCCTCTTCCTCTTCATTATTATTGGTTAATGGAGAAAAAAGGCCGTGGCCAGCGCCACCCAACGCCACCAGATTCCTGCTGAATCTCGAATATTCTTCTGATGATGATGATGATGATGGTGATGATGTCATAATTCCGTTACTGGAAAAGGCAAAGTAACCGACATCTCCGATTTGGAGGGGTACAAAGCCGCCGTATGGAGCAGCGGCCGCGGTGTTGGCTACGCTGCATAGCTGCCATGCCTCGCTCAGCAGAGGCGTCGAGGCCAAGAAACTTGCCACCATCTCACTGCTCTCAAACCTGCATGAAAATATATAGATATATATGAATATGATTAATTAACGAATCAAAGTCTTCCCCTTTTTGTTCAAATATGTCCGAAGAAAATTTCTCGGTCATGATCAAATTCATTCTTCATGTAGGTTGGAAAATACAGGTGAGAGAGAGAGAGAGAGAGGGACTTACGGTGAAGCTTCGGTATCCATGGACTGACCGAGTGATTGGCTTCTTCTTCTTCTTTGGAGTCTTTAGAAGCCAACCAGAGTTTGGATGCAATTTCGTGCCATATGCGGTACTTTTATAAGGGTTGAAATAAATATATAGCTAAAAAAATTCCTTTTGGCTTGGACTAACAGTGTTTTTGAATTATTACTATTATTTTATTATTTTAAACAAGTGCTTTTTTTAAATAGGAAAATTCACTATTATACCTAATATAAGAGCCCAAATAATAATAAAAAACCCTATATGAAATGAACTTTAGAAACACATCCAAAGTCCATTTACAATATAACAAAAAAACTTTTAACTTCTTTTAAATTATAAAACTGCCATTAATTTCTTAAAACAAACATAACCCTAAAACCTCATAAAAAAAAACTCAAAACACTTAATAGGGCATCAAAGTAATTTAATAATCAAAATTTAATTCAATAGGGCCAGGTATTATTTTGTGGGTTTTTTTTTGGGTTTGTTTATAGAAATTAAATGGTGTAGGGTTTATTTATAGTTTTAGTATTAAGAATGGGTATATGATTAAATATCTCTTTTTATTTACAAGATGAGCTTATTAGTGAAATCCTCTGAATAAATCTTCACCGTACGCATGTCATAATCGTAACTGTTAATTTCCTGAATCACAATTTAAAGATCACACTTACAAAACTCTCAATCGCTTTGCTTGAGGTGCAATTGGTGTAACTTTCATTATTTTGTGGGGTTTGGTTTTGATTAGTGACACTAGTATTATAATCAATTATACTAGTTAGTCGGTTGGGTCTATTTAATTCATGCAAGTCGTTGGAGTGAAAAAGCTTGACTTGCTACCGTGTTTTTGGGGGGGGGAGGGGTGCGTGGGCTTTCGCCTGCACCGGGGATAGGACAACAGTCCTATTCCCCTCCAATCGCAGCAAGCCATGTGTCCAACTTTGGCAAA